GGTTCTCCCTGCCGGAGGAGGTAGGCGGGGCGGGGGGCGGGGCCGGGGCGGGGGCGGGTGGGGCCCAGCTGGGCCATCCAGTTGCTAGAGCGGGCTGGCCTCTCCCACAGGCTTTCTACATGATCCGATTCCACTCCTTCTACCCCTGGCACACGGGTGGTGACTACGGGCAGCTGTGCAGCCAGCAGGACCTGGCCATGCTGCCCTGGGTGCAGGAGTTCAAGTATGGCCATCCCGTGGTGGCTGGTGGGAGGGAGGGGGCCGGGGTCCTTCTCCAGGCTCATTGCCCATCCTCCTCCACTGCAGCAAGTTTGACCTCTACACCAAGTGCCCTGACCTGCCAGATATGGACAGGCTGCGGCCCTACTACCAGGGGCTCATCGACAAGTACTGCCCTGGCGTTCTGCACTGGTGACCCTGCCCCCCACCCCGCTGCTGCTGGGCCCCCAGGCCTGGCCCCAGCGTGTCCAGCCGGGCCTGGCCCCGGCCAGACGGCCACCAGCAGGCCCAATGATGGCCCGCCCCCACTTGCCCGCCTGTGGTCACCACTCCTCGTGACCACTTGTGTCCAGGGCAATAAAGACTCTGAAGGAACCTGTGCTTCTGATGACTCCCCGGGCCTCTGGCATGTTGCAGCAGCAGGGGACGGCCCAGGCTGATGGATCCTGCTGGCAGGGTGAAGGCCATGTCCCGTGGCTCTTAGACACCACACAGCTGGGCTTGGTAGCTCAGCCCGGGGGCTGAGTCACCCAACTCGCCCCACGTTCTCGAAACAGTCACCAAGTCCTCTGGGCTCAGTCTCCTCAAAGAAAAGAAAGAGGCCGGGCACAGTGGCTCGAGCCTGTCCTCCCCGCACTTAGGGAGACCAAGGTGAGAGGATTGCCTGAGCCCACGGGTTGGAGACCAGCCTGGGCAACATGGTGAGACTGTGTCTCTTCAGTACATCAAAAAAATAGGGCCAGGCTTGGTGGTTCAACCTGTCACCCCAGCACTTTGGGAGGCCGAGGCGAGTGGACTGCCTGAGCCCGCTAGTTCAAGACCAGCCGGGGCAACATGACAAGACCTTGTCTCTACAATAAATAAAATTAGCACACACTTGTAGTTCCAGTTAATTGGAAGGCTGAGGCAGAAGTATCACTTGAGCCCAGCAGGTCAAGGCTGCGGTGATCGTGAGCGTGCCCCTGCCCTCCAGCCTGGGTGATGGAGTGAGACTCCGACTCAAAAAAAAAAAAAAAGAACTACTCTGGGTGCAGTGGCTCACACCTGTATTCCCAGCACTTTGGAAGGTCAAAGCAGGAAGACTGCTTGAGCCTAGGAGTTTAAGACCAGCCTGGGCAACTTAGCTAGGCCTTGTCTTTACAAAAAAATTAAAAACTTAGCTGGGCCTGGTGGTGTGCTTCTGTAGTCCCAGCTACTGGGAAGGCTGAGGCGGAAGGATTGCCTGAGCCCAGCAGGTCGAGGCTACAAGGCCGTGAGTGTGCCCCTGCACTCCAGCCTGGGTGACAGAGTAAGACTCTGACTTTAAAAAAAAAGAAATCAATTAGCTGGGCATGGTGCAGTGTGTCTGTAGTCCCAGCTATTCAGAGGCCAAGGCAAGGGGATTGCCTGAGCCCACGGGTTCGAGACCAGCCTGGGCAACAAAGCAAGACCCTGTGTCTACAAAATATAGAAAATTAGCTGGGCGTGGTGGCACATGCCTGTAGTTGCAGCTATTCAGGAGGTTGGGGCAGGAGGATTGCTTGAGCCCAGGAGTTTGAGGCTGTAGTGATAGATCTTACCAGCACACACCAGCCTGGACAAAGTGATGTGCCCCAGCTCCATACGAATGACCTAGGAGTTTCTTTTTTTTTTTTTGAGTTGGAGTCTCACTCTGTCACCCAGACTGGAGTGTAGTGGCCGCTCCCGGACACTGCAGCCTTGACCTGCTGGGCTCCGGCGATCCTTCCGCTTCAGCCTTCCCAGTAGCTGGAACAACAGGCACGCGCTACCACATCCGGCTAATATTTTGATTTACTGTAGAGATGAGATCTCGCCAAGTTGGCCAGGTGGGTATCGAACCCGCGGGCTCAGGCAATCCACTCAACTCAGCCTCTCAAAGCACGGGATTACAGGCTGAGCCACCAAGCCCGGCTGACCCAAGAGTTTCTAAGTGTGTCCTGGGTCAGAATCTTCTCTCCTATGGCCGCAGGATTGAAACTGCCGAAAACACAAGCCCTCAGCATGCGATTGGCTGAATTCCAGTTGAAGTTGAACTCAGGCTCCAGAGGTGTTCCCTGTTACAGGGAGGACATGGGTTGGGAAAGAATGGGACCCTATCCGTCAAGATGGGTATGTGCGGGAGCACCCTGATGGGCTGGGCCCACTGAGCCCCTAAGTTCTTGTTCATCGGTGGAAATGCACCCCCTCCCCACCACCAGAGTGCAGGCTTTCCCACCTCTGTCTGCATTGCTCGGGGAACCTGCAGCCAAGCAAGACAGTGCTGATTCTTTTCGAGATTAGGTCGTAACAGGTCCCAGCAGGCCCCAAAGGGGAGGTGAAAATTGTGATACCAAGCCGGGTGCGGTGGCTCAAGCCTGTAATCCCAGCACTTTGGGAGTCTGAGGCAAGAAGATTGTCTGAGTCCAGGGGTTTGAGACCAGCCTGGGTAGCTTGGTGAGACCTTGTCTCCACAATAAATCAAAAGTTAGCCGGGCATGGTAGCGCATGCCTGTAGTTCTAGTTACCGAGGTAGGATTGCCCAAGCCCAGCTGGTCGAGGCTGCAGTGACCATGGGTGTGGCACTGTACTCCCGCCTGGGCAACAGAGTGACACACCAACTCAAAAAAAAAAAGTGTGACACTCAAGGAGACATGTTACACCCAGGAGGAATGACATGAGTTTCCTGAGGTATACAGACAGACATCTGGAGAACATGTGTGGATGTTCAGGGTGTGGGATAAAGGTGGTGGAAATGTAAGGTGGGATCGCTCACTGACATGGGCTCACTAAGTGGAGACTCTGCATTTAAAGCTGCAACTTGGAGCATTGGGACAGGTGCTAACAGTGTGACTGTTTGACCAAAACATGGAGTAAAAGATGGCCACTGTGAATGAGCCAGGGGTACCCGGTATCCCTTGGTTTGCCACAGAGGAAGGGCCTTGAAGGAGGGCTCAGGTGTTGGTGTGTGAGAGAGGGTTTGTCACTCAAAACCTATTCACCCACTCAGGCAGGGGCAAGAAGACACACCGTTTGCTTTTCATGACACTGAAAAATAGATTTGTGAGGTGCCCAGTATCACTGAAGGGCACCGTGACTGCTCTTCTCTGTAGACTGGACCTCACAGTGGGACCCACAGTCACTCAGTCAGAAAATCTACATTCAGCCAGACTAATTGGACCCCAGGTTGGCAGGGGCTGAGTGGTGCACCCAACCATCAAGGGCAAGGCGGGCTTAGTGGAAAAAAGAGGCAAAGCAACTGTCAGGATAGTCTGATTCATGTAGACCTGTGGCATCGGCTTGATGACCGTGATGTTCCTAGACGTGAATAGTTAGGAAGCCTGCTAAACTCTTACTTGATCTGCATAAGCTGGAAACTTTCAGGTCAAGTGAACAAAAGTCCAACTCGGATCACAAAAACAGAGTCAGCCGAGCTCAGTGGCTCAGCCTGTAATCCCAGCACTTTGGGAGGCCCAGGCGAGTGGACTGCCTGAGCCTGCGGGTTTGAGACCATCCTTAGGCAACTTGGAGAGACCTCATCTCTACAAAAGAAAAAATTTTTTTAAACGAGTCAGGCATGGTAGTATGTGCCTGTAGTTCCAGTTACTTGGAAGGCTGGGCTGGAAGAATTGCCAGAACCTAGCAGGTTGACACTGGGATGGCCATGAGTGTGCCACTGCACTCCAGCCTGGACGATGGAGTGAGACTCCAACTCAAACAAAACAACAACAACAACAAAAACCCAGAGAGTCACGACGCCTCAATCTCTTTCAAGGCTTGCGCCAGTGTACAGACTCAGCTGCCTTGAATGAAAATGAGGCCAGTTCCCCTCCAGGAAGAACCCGAGTCCATCACCAAAAGTCTGCACTGTTAATCTCTCATCCAGCCTTCTTCAGAGGGACCTCTGGCCCTTTACCAGGTAACTGTGCACTGGGGGATGAGAAATAGTCAGTCCTTTCGGGGATTACTGGACACTGGCTTTGAACTGACACGGATTCAGGAGACCTGTGAGGCCATGTGGTCCTCCAGTCAGAGTGGGTCAGGTGGCTAAGGGGGTTAGGTGGCTAACAGAGCTCTGACTCAGCAAGTCCCGTGGGGTCTCCAAACCCATCCAGTGCTCATTTCCCCAGTTTCAGATGCATAACTGGAACAGACACACCTGGCAACTAGAGAATCCCCACATCAGCTCCCTAGCCTGTGGGGTAAGGAATATTATGATGGCCAGATGGAAGCCATTAGCGCTGTCTACATAGAAAGACAGTAAATTGCTGGTTGTGGTGGCTCCTACCTGTAATCCCAGCTACTAAGGAGGCTGAGGCAGGAGAAGCACTTGAGCTGAGGAGTCCAAGACTATCCTGGGCAACAGAGCAAGACCCTGTCTCTACAAAAAAGATTTTGTAAAGAAAGGAAAAACAGCAATTCAAAAATAATACCACGTCACTGGAGGGATTGCAGGGATTCGTGCCATCATCAAGGAGTTGAAGGACACGGGGTGGTGGTTCCCGCCACATTTCCACTTAGCTCTCCTATGTGCCCTGTGCATGAGATAGGATGGATCCTGGAGAATTTCTGCCAGTGCATCGTCATAAGCTCAACCAAGTAGCAATGCCTACTGCAGCTGCTTTGCCAGATGAGGTTTTTGCTTGAGTGAACAGACACATCTCCTGATGCCTGGTGCCAGCACTGGAGCTGGCAAATGCCTTCGTCTCCCACCCTGTCCACAGGTCCCACCAGAAACAGTTTGCCTTCAGCCACACACCCTTGCTGTCCTGCACGGGGGTATATCAACTCTCTAGCCTTCCGTCGCAATCTGGTTCACAGGGATCTCACCACCTTCTCCTTCCGTGAGACATCACACTAGCTCGTTCCATCGCTGACATCACACAGACCAGACCTGGTGGGTGTGACTAATCTAGATTCCCTGGTAAGACATTTGCGTGTCAGAGGCTGGAAAACAGATCTGACTAAAATTCAAGGGCCTTCCACCTCAGGAAAACATCCAGGGGCCCAGTGGTGTGGGGCATTCAAAACAGCCCACCTAAGGGTTCAGGCACCTTGAATGAAAATGAGTTAGTTGCATCTGGCCCCTTTCACAACTAGGAAAGAGGCACAAGCCTAGTGCATCTCTTTGGGTTTGGAGGCAACACATTTTTTTTTTCCTGAGTTGGAGTCTCACTCCATGACCCAGGTTGGAGAGCAGGGGCACGCTCACAGCCACCACAGCCTCGACCTACTGGACTCTGGTGGTCCTTCTGCCTCAGTCTTCCA